CCGGCTCGGGAGGCGCCCGCCCTCCTCACACGCGCTCCCGCCGAGCGGCCCGAGGGCAGCCGCCGCCGCGCCGGCGCCCCGCGAGCGCAGTGGGGGAGGGCCGGGGCTCCGCCGCGGGCCGGGCCGGGCCGAGCGGCGGGCGGCGTTTACCTGTGTCAGGGAGAGCTGGGCTGCCGCAGCCATGGTGTTTCCATCATGCACGGGAGGGGAAGGAAGGACGGGCGGACGGGGGCCCGGGGCGGGAAGGAGGCGGAGGGACAGGCCGTAGGCGAGGCCGGCGGCCGGGCGTCTCCCCGAACTTCGACAACTTCCCTCCTCACGCCGCCCCGCCCCTCCGGCCCGGCCACGCCCCCGGGCCCGGGCACGCCCCCCTCGGCCCCGCCCCGCCCCGCCCCGCCCCTCCCGTCCCGCAGGCCGCGGCGGAGCCCAAAGCCCGGCGCCGGGGTGGGAGCCGAGGAGCCGGGCCCTGACCCCGGCCGCCCTGGAAAACCCGGTACGGATGATACGCCGGGCCGGACGGGCGGCGGAGGCGGTGGTGCTTTCTGGGCTGAGGTTTCTGAAAAGTGCAGGAAAATAGACCCCCGTCCAGGTGGGTTGTGAGAACTAAAAGGGTCATGGTGCTAAAAAGTAATGATAGTGATAATACTGTTAGATAATTCTGATTTATATGTGATTCTCTCTGCACTAAGTGCTTTCTTTCTAGTTGGTTGGTTTTTTTGAGACAGGTTCTCTCTTTGTAGCCTTGCCTGTCCTGGCGCTCACATTTAGACCAGGCTGGCCTTGAACTCACAGAGATCCACCTGCCTCTGTCTCCAGAGTTCTGGGATTAAAGGCACGTGCCACCAATCCAGGCCTAAATTTTTTTTTTTAACTGCATGAATAGGAGATTTGAAACAGAAGCTTTATTCAAACGAGGAAGAAGAAACCCAGCGGGGCATGGCAGCACATACCTTTAATCTCTGTGTGTTCCAGGACAGCCTGGTCTACATAGTGAGTTCCAGGACAGCCAACGATACAGAGTGAGACCCTGTCTGAAATGGAAAGAACACCCCCCCCCAAAAAAAAAAAAAAAAAAAAAAAAAAAAACCACGAGCAAACAACCTCTCTTACCTGAGGTTAAACAGAAAACTAGAAAGCCAGATTACAGTTTAACTCACAAATCTTTCCACCTGCTATCACACTGATTACGAAGGACGGTAAGGCCTTTCCTTCTAAAGCCAAAAGCTTGGGAGCAAGAGGGGGCTACCTTCCTTGCCTGCTCCCCGACCCACCTAGATTGTTCAGTTACCGATGGGTAGTCCAGCAACCACAGTATGTGCACAGAGCTCTGGGTCCCCTCTCCAAACCAATGTACACTCTTTGGTTGACCTTCTCTCCACAGGAGGAAGTCAGCAACCCCCTAATGATTTGTTTACATAATCTACCCCTCCCCCACACCAAGAGCTCCTAATGAGGAGGAGTTCTTTATACCATTTATATGTATTTTAACATCCCGACATGCTAGCATGTGCTAATAAAGGCCTTTGTCCTGCCTATATTAAGCACAGTACACCTTCCTCTTTCTCATGCTGCCGCCCTTAGTTAGAATAACCAACCCACGAATTTGAAATTTTCATCTGCAGAGCCTCAAGTGTCTTAGGGGTCTATTGCTGTGAGGAAACACCATGACCGAAAGCAACCACATCACTGGACATCAAAAGCAGGGAGGGCAGGAACTCAAGGAGGTCAGGAACCTGGAGGTAGGAGCCGATGCAGAGGCCATGAAGGATGCTGCTTACTGTCATGTTCAGCTTGCTTCCTCAGAGAACCAGGACCACCTGCCCCAGGATGACCATTCTCCGATCAATCACTGATTAAGAAACTGCCTTCTGGTGAGAGCTTAGGAAGGTGTTTTCTCAACTGAGGGTCCATCATTTCTGGTAAACCTAACTTGTGTTAGTTGACGCAGAACCAGCCAGGTTTATACACAGCCTGCTTCAGGGAGCCAAGGAAGTCTACACATCACCTTTTAGTTCGTGTGTGTGTGTGTGTGTGTAAGTGTGTGTAAGTCTAGGGACTACTTTGCAGGGGTCATAGATTCTCTCCTTCCACCTGAAGGTCTCGGGATAGAGCTCAGGCTGATAGTCTTGGTAGCCGTTGCCCTTATCTGCTAAGCTTCCTTCAAAGCCCACATTCTCTACCGCATTTTAAGAGTTACTTGAGAGCCTTCCTGCATCCCATTGGCCTGTAAAGTCCTTCAAGAAGACTGAATCACTACTGCATCTTCCTCACACAGAAGTACCCAGCCTCATTATGTTTTCTCCCAGATTGTTCTTCCTTTCTCAGTCATGCTGGTTTCCAGGACAAAACCCAGCTGAGGGAGACACAATTCTATCATGCCCACAACTGTTATCATTATAATAAAATTCCTCAATACACGCAGACAGCTGGAAAGACCCAAGATCTAGTTAGCTCCACTTCAGCTTTTAGACTTTTTTCATCACAGGCAAGGACCAGAGAGGCCTCAAGAACTCCTAAATCTGCCCAGACTCCTCTGACTTGCTCCAGCCTCAAAGAGCAAGTTATACAGGTCTGATGAGCAACCACTCAGCTGGGGTGTCTCCTCTGACCTCTTTTCGCTATTATTCCTTTTAACTCAAGGGAGGAGAGGAGTTGGCATCTTCTACTTCACGTTACTAAGTTTCAACTTCACACATACACACACACACACACACTATAGCATGTTTAGGAAATGAAAGGGACCATCACGATGGGTTCACTTTAAGTAAAAAATGAAACCTCATATTTATATAGTACTGCTTTAACAGTTTATGTCTTTGTTTGCAAAATCTAGCACAACTCCTAATGGCTAACAGTTTCCTTATTAAAGTTTGTTGAACTGAACTAAACATATAAACTCAGCTCTACTTAGCTGTGTCTTCAGTTCATCATTTCACAAATAAGGACATTGAGAGGCTGGGGAGATGGCTCAGTTGGTAAAGAACAAGCCTACTGGCACATAAGCATTTTGGGTCTTCATTTAAGAAAAAGAAAAAAAAAAAAACCATTGGTCTCAGGATACAGCTAAGTTAGGGTACTTAACTAGGATGCACATGGTCCTGGATTTAAGCAAAAAGGGAGCAAAGGAAGGTGGAGAGGATAGGGGGAAGAAAGAGAAGCAGAGCAGAGAAAGGCGGAGTACCTAAGAAAAAAGACTGCCTTAAATTCATTATGTAGGAATTGCTTCCATCCCCTTCAGGAGCACCAATAATTTACAGTGCCTTCTCCACTCCTGACTTCTGGTTTCAGTTAATAGCATGTAGCTGGAGATGGAGCAGGTCTGGAGGGATAGCACTGATGGGCCAAACTCCCAAAGCCGACAACTTCTGAGACTGATTTCTTTTTTTTTTTTTAATGACATACAAATGACAATTTGCAAATATGTGTCCCAGATCTCATCAAAGCACTGGGTCACATCCCAAATCTATTTTAGGAAGACAAAATATAGCTAATGGGAGAGATATTATAATCTAATTCACTCTAACAGGAATGAGCTGCATAGGGCAGATGAGAAAGACTTCATTTTTAGGGCAGCTTTGTGTCCCTCGGGCTCTAAGCTTCAGATTCCCGGCATTCACTTCTGCTATAATGGCCACCCTGCACAGACAGTAGGAAAATTAAATATCATGAATAAATGGACTTAGGCAGAGGCTGGCCTGGTCGCTGTATATGTTCATAACTGATACTTATGCAACAGCATTGTCCAAGATCAGCTCTTAGCTCCCTACTTTTCAGTCAGCTGTGTGATTACCAAGTGGGCTTGTAGCTGTATTAGTTACCAGAAGTGGGAGGGGCTGTCTCACGCCCTGACACATGTATCCCTGTCATTAACAGGGATTTATATTGTATCTTATTTCCCAAGATATAAACTTGTGTCTGATGACTATAATCTGGGCCCTAAGAGACAAAACTTGTTTTTATGACCTGATAAGGATGGTTTGAGGAATTTATTCAGTCTCATAATTCATAGGTCTTCTGATTCAACCCTGATTTTTAAAGAGGAGTGTATTGTTAGCATCCTGGAGAAATAGGCCTCCAGACGACTTCAGAAACTGGACTTCTGAGCATAAAAAGCTGAAAGCAAAGCATGGGTTTGTGATAAACCTAAACTTGGTATGCGCCTGAAGAGACCTCACATCACAGACAGCTTTGTTACCAGTTGTCTTCCTGTGTTATTCTAACTTTCCCATTTCTGAACCTATCCTCAAAGGAAACCTTTACTGCTTCTGTTTCTCTGTTTTCCAGCTTTTGAAAGCAGCTGTCACATCAGCTTTTTAGGAGCACTACAGTTGTTCGTGTGATGTCAGCATCTGTAAAGCTGAGCAATGCAGAAGGGTTGAAACCATGAGTGGAGGCTGTGAGGAACTCTCTGAATGTACAAAGAGCCGGTCTGTGCGCTCGATTCTCTGGGAAAGGCCTTCCACATAAACGGTGCTATGCTTTAAGACAAAGTTGTCCTTCGGCTGTAATGGTGATGTAGAGCTCATGCTTTCGAGATGCTGGCTCCATAAATATAGCTCATCATTGTTCAGATTTACCCAGGGCAAAAAGAATGTGTGAGACTATACAATAATAGCAACCGTGCTACTCAAATAACTGTCCCTGTAGCAGGGTCTGAGACATGAGAAGGACAAAGTGTGGAAGAGTTTCAAATGCCTTAAATGCCATAGACATCCGGGTATCATAAGGCAATTTAAAACTGTCATTACCAATACATCACCAAAGGGATGTCCTGGCAACAGCTGAATTTAGAGCGTGGAAAACCCAACCAGGTCCACTCTTGGCTCTATAACTTCTTATTTTTATAACTTTAGACAAGTCACTGAATGATAACAAGCCATGGTTGCCTCCTCTGTGACCTGATGCTTACGGTTACGGGTGAAAAGCCTGTGTCTAGCAGAGAGCAGTATGTGTTGGCATCGGCCCCTTTTCTTGTCTACTGGAGAACAGAAAAGGTCTGAGTAAGCTCAACTAAGAAACAAAATCATTTTTAAGGTTTTTCAGTGGTTTTCCAAGGACTACTTAATGATTTTTTTTTCATAAAAATGTTTTCATCCATTTGTAGTATTTATTGAATACTCTAGAGGAAGGGAGATTATTCAGTTGTTGTTCCCAAAGTGACATTGGCTCTTAGTGAGAAGGCAACTGAAGCTCTATGCTTGCCCTGTTTCCTTCCTTTCATTTCCCTCTCTTATGTAAGGTCCTAGAAACCACAATAAATCAAAAAGAATACCCTGGGAAGGAAAACACTTGCACTCACGGCTGCGG